GCCCGGGACCCTCCCCTGCCTGGCAGCCCTTCCTTACACTGCCAGCCCAGCTTTTCCCCTCCTAGTGATGCTGATATTCCCATCCCCTTTGTTTTACCTAATTTGAGTGGTTTTTGCAAGGAGGGGGGTGAGTACAAGTGATTTTGAATAGACGGGAGAAGGTGATAAAATTGTTTTGGTTGGGCAGCAGGAGAAAAACTTTCCTGGATTAACGGTGTGCGGATCGGACGGATGTGGGGAATGGGGCTGCGTAGTGCTGGGCAGGGTGGGGGCTGCAGAGGGGGCAGGACCGCTTTAATACCCCCGATACAAAGAAATATTCTGCAGCCCCTTGCACATGGCAGCACGGAGGGACGGGAAGGTGCGGGAGTTACCTGCAGCCATCGCTGTCCCCGAGCCAGCCTTGGGGCTATTGATTTGGAACTTGTCCCGTTCACGCTAACCTTGGCAGTGCCAGCTAGCCCCTCTTATCAACCCGATAAACCCCACTGCAACCTCCCGCCCCGTCCCGCCGCCAGCCCGGTGGCATCACCCTGCAAGGTGCCGCGGTGACAGATCTTTCCTGCGACTCTTCCCTTGCGCTGGTTGCTCTTTTGCTGCGATGCTCTAAATCCAGGACACCTCGCTCCTATTTTCTGCACAGAGGCTGCGGTTGCACCAACTCTTTTTCAGCCCCCGGTGGATGCTCACCCCTTGCTGAGGATCTCCGGCGAAGAAGGATGCGGCGCCGTCTGCAAACGCTTTTCCAAAGGAAATTTAAAGTCAGCCTCCTCTTTCTCCTGCTCTTGGCCCTCCTGGTGCACCTGGTGATGGATTTGGCTCTCCCCGCAGCCCGCAGGCCCTGCGGCTGCGATGCCAAAGCACCCAAAACCTCAAGTGTCCCATCAGGCAGCCCCGTGCTGGCCGGCCCCGAAAAGCTGAGCCTGCGAATCCTTCAGGATTTCAGCGGCAGCAACGGCTCCTTGGAGAAGCCACAGGGAACGGGGCTGCACGCGAGGGCTGGAGAGGGGAACGTGGCGGGGACCGAGGGGTCGAAGTTAGGAGCCCTCTTCGAGCATCCCCTTTACAACATCCCGATCCCAGAGGTGACAGAGAAGGACAGGCTGTTTGTCGTCAACCCCGCGGAGAAGTTCAGCCTGCGCAGCAGCGGGAGCGATGAATGGTGAGGAGCGAGCTCAGCCCTGGCTTGGTTTTGGGGGATACGTGGGTTTGAGGGGACAAGTGACAGAAACCAAACACGTTTCCCTGGGTAGATCAGCATCCTACCCGGGAGGAGCCCCGATTGCTAAGCACGCTTTTCTTGTTCCTCAAATCCTCTCTTAACCCTGAATTTCTGGACTGCTACCCGGGAACCTGTAGCACAAGGCGAAGCCAAAGGAGATTCTTGAATTATTCATGGTGTTATGTAGGGTATCCTTTAGGTGATCTCATCTCCTTTCCTTCCCCGGTGCCTTTGGTCTCTTTCTATATATACGAGGAACTCCCCACTCCAGATTTCTAACCAGTTTTATCCCCTGCTCCCGACGCGCTGGAGATGCAAAGCCTGCAATGCAGGTTACCTCTAACCCTGAGAGCGTTCCCCTCCTGCGTTTCGCAGGACATCGCCTGACCCCGTTAGGCTCAGCCGTACGGTCAGCTCGCCGCTGCCGACCGCCTATTTTTATCACTGGACTACTAACCTCTAATTAGGAGGGAAGATATTAAAAGCTTTATTGTTGGTAACGCGTAGCAGCTTCCTTACGGAAAGCACACCTGGCAAACACGGTGGCTACTAAAACTGGGAGAGAATAAAAGCTGGTTTAAGAGCTGGTTTCCACAAATGGGCGTTTGCCTTGTCGCTGAGGACCACCTCGCCCATGGATAACCATGGGAAATGGGTCTGGTTTGATGAAATTGGGGCACAAACTGCATTTTCCTAGAGAGAGAGAGATGTGGATTTGGGTTATAGATGCCCTGGGCTGGACTGTCCCATTGCAGCGCTGGTGGGTGCTGGTGCCAAGGGGGTGCAGATACCCCCGGGAGACTCTCTCGAATGCCCGCAAACTGCAAATTTGCGGGAGGCACAGAGACAGGGATAGTGCTAACCCAAACTCATCCCCCTGGGGAAAGCAGGGGTGCGCGATAAACCCGTCCAAGGGGAACTGGATGTTGAGGGTGCGAGTTCAGGTGGGTGCTGGGGATGGCCGGGAAGCCCCTGCTCCTCCACCTCTGTTTTATGGATGCGTGTGTGCAGGGTGTAGCCGGTTGTATTCCTGGCAGCTAATCCCTTGGGGAAAAACAAGGAGACGAGCTGCTCCAGCAGGGAAATAAAGGCACGGATGAGAGGAGCAGGATCAGCCTGGGGATTTTCCATGGGGGATGCGAGGGAAGACACCGAGCCCCTTCCAGCCACTAGCCATGGGTGGGAGCTGCCCAGGTGCCAGAAGCCCCACATGGGGCAGGGGGTTTCGTCATCATCCAGGGCTTGTGCTGGGCCTTCCTCCCCTCTCATCCTCCATACGCTAGCTCCCGGGAAAGGCCTGGGGACGCAGGACCCTTCCCGTCCCAACTAAACGCTGTTGTTGTTGTTGGGCTGGCGGTGGCTGTCGGGCTGTAGGGGCAGCAGCAGTAAAGCCGAGACGCTCCTCCCGACAGGGAAGACGGCCTACGAGACCTATCCCACCTGGCTTAAATTCCACGTCGGCATCAACCGCTATGAGCTCTACCCCCGCCGGGACCCCCTGATGCCCATCCTCCTCCGGGACTTGGCCACGCAGAGGATCGTCGGCTCGGGTACCACCTCCCTACCCGCACCCCTGCCTGCATCCCTGCCCCACTGCCTGCTGCCCACCTCCCTCATCCTTCTCTGCCCTCTTTCAGTCCAGAAGTCCGGCGGGACCCAGCTCAAGCTCATCATGACATTCCCAAATTACGGGCAGGCCCTCTTCAAGCCCATGAAGTGAGTAGAGCCAGGGACAACCCCATACCCCACCCGCACGGTCCCGTTGGGTGGTGAGGAGTGGTTGGAGGAGACCAAGGAGGGACAAATGGCAAAATGCTTTGTGCACGGCCTCCCTTCATCCCCCCCCGACCCCAAAATTGAGGCGAGCGGGATGGTCCCCTTCCCCTCGCCTTCCCATGGTGGTGCTTGCGGCA